AAGTAAATAAATCCTTCTGCTTAAACCTTCTCTCTTGCTCTTCTTAAACACCTTCTTTAAAAGTACCGCTGTAACAACATAATGATTAACAAAAATTAACTATGATTAGAAAATTTAAAACAATAATAATTTTAAAAACTATCAAAAATTTGTATAAAACCCAGTTTTTTTGCAATTTTATTATATATCTTGCTAATTTTTAACCTTACTCTAATTTCTAACTCTAATTTAAATACCAATATAAACAAATATTGTATATAATTGTTATTATATGTTACATGAACCATCAGATAAATACATACTATGAAATCGCATAATCTATTTAAATATTTCGCATAATTTTTAAAATTATTTCGCATTTATCACAAAATTGAACTCCCCGTCGCATCGCATAATTCTGAACACCCGGTTGGCGATCTAGGGTAGTTTCTTAGGGACACTGCGATCACGTGATATCGAATAAAATCCATCTCACTAATTATACCAACACAGCAAGCAAGTGACTATTTGCACAGCAAAATGGCCGGCATTAGAGTTAGGTTAGCATTAGGGTATGGGAAGAGTTAGTCACGTGCCTGCTGTGTCGGTATAATCGGCCAATCCATCTACCTTAACCGTTAACTAACCAATCACCCTTAAACACGTGAACGCACACTGTCCCGTAGATTTCGCGTAATTTGTAAGGAATGTGATCATACTATCATATGACTTCATGTGATTCGTTGGATCATATGTTATATTCGATAATGCTAGCTAAGTTTTTCATAATGCTGTTCTTTATATCACGTGTGAAATTTACACGAAATCCATGTTACTGAAACTTACGCAAATTTCAACCCTATCGATGTGTAATAAATAAGAGGCATAACCCAATTTCACCGATAACCATTTTGCCGACAGATTGTCGGCGAAGTGGCCGTCTACGAAATGGAATTCTACCAAAACCGTAATAAATAAGAGTATCGCACCATACAATGCATACCTAACTTAAAATAAAAAAACTATACCTACTATACATGTTGTACATATATTTTTTTTCAAATAGCCTTTATTGTATAATTTATTATCTCAAGTTATAGATTTTTTATGGTCAATTTTGATATATGTAGTTGGCTAAACCGATTTTTAAATATCGACTTAGTCGAGTTGATAAATTTAGGTCGACTACAAACACTATTAAAATATCGTGTAACGATACCGTGAAACCTACGTACGTAGCAAAGATCCCACATAACTTAAATACGTATTTAATATCAGATATTTACAAATATATATGTACGTATTAATAAAGTTAATACGTATTTAAATATTTGTTCTGGTGTTTGTAAAATTTTAATGGTATTAACGTTAACATACGTATTTTTTTAGATGATTGACATGACATTAGGATAACGAAACCACACATCTTCACTATAATTAACCCTATATATCTCTGATTAGCGTTAGCAAACAATAACGTAGATTAAAATTTATATATTGTTATTTTGTAATCCGATAAATTTATCAGAAACAATATAATAGCATGTGAAATTTACGGTTAAAAAAAAGAATATTAATGTAGGTACGTACGTACGTACGTAGCAATTATTTAAAGTACTGATAAAGATAACCTTAACAAGAAAATGATCCGTTTGCGGATCCCGAGGTTGTGTAACTACACCGCCGACAAATTCTCGAACATATGCTTTACTTAATGTTTGTTTTATTATAGATGCATCTGGCTGTGTTATCAATTCTAAATATAACATACAAATAAAGTGATGTTCCAAATAAGTTCAGACAGCCCCTTATCAACATGATAAGATAAGTTATCTAATGCTGTAGTTATCTTATCATCAGACACAGTTCACGATTATTGATAAGATTAAACATATTGCATCCAATTATTGACCAACAAACGGCGAAAATTACATATAAATAGAATCCTTTTCCGTTTCATTTGCATTATACGACACTTCTAACAATTATAATAATAGTCATGGATACCTTAGAACAAACAGTCACTAATAATTCAATAATCCCCAATAATGTTAATCAAGTTAATAATGTTGGTATTGACCCTCGAGATATTGGTACCCCGGATAATTGGGTCCCTCGTCATCCGGAACTTGTAAGACTAACTGGAAAACATCCTTTTAATGCGGAGGCACCATTATCTCTTTTAATGGACCAGGGTTTTATCACACCAAACTCCTTACACTACGTAAGAAATCATGGGCCTGTACCTAAGCTTCAGTGGGAAACACATCGTTTAACCGTTAACGGGTGAGTAATATATAAAATATATGATCTATTTTTTTTAAAAAAAAAAATGCTATTTTTTTTCTAATTATAGGTATTATATCTATGGTGTAGACTCGTGTCAAAACCGATAATCTTGTCAATGGATGATATAGAAAGCCTTCCTTATAAGGAATTTCCTGTGACACTTTGTTGTGCTGGAAACAGAAGAAAAGAACAAAACATGATCAAACAAACTAAAGGATTTAACTGGGGTGCAGCAGCTACAAGCTGTGCGATCTGGAAAGGTGTTCCATTAAGCCATATTTTAAAATTAGCTGGAGTTGTCGATCACAAAACCGATAAGCCTCGCTACGTATGCTTTGCCGGTTGTGATAAATTACCGAATGGTTATTATGGAACAAGTCTCCCTTTAGAATGGGCAATGAATGATGCAAATGATGTTATCCTGGCATACGGAATGAATGGTGAAAGGTTACCTCCTGACCATGGTTATCCATTACGCGTTATTATTCCTGGATGTATTGGTGGTCGGATGGTTAAATGGCTTGAAAGTATATCAGTATCCGACAAAGAATCCGACAGTTATTATCATTATTTTGATAATCGAGTTCTTCCTCCAGAGTATGATGCGGAACGAGCCAATAAAGAAAAGGCGTGGTATAATCCAGATTACATTATTAACAAACTTAATATTAACTCTGCTATAACTTCACCGGCACACAATGAGCGTATTCCATTATCAAGCTTTGTTAGTACAAAAGAGTATACAATTAAAGGATATGCATATACTGGAGGTGGACAGAAAGTTACTCGTGTGGAAGTTTCTTTAGACGGTGGCAACACATGGCTTCTCGCAAAGTTGACACAACCAGAACTTGAGCATCCAGCAGTTTTAAAAAGAGGAATAAATCCTATTCCACGATTTTGGTGTTGGAGTTTTTGGTCATTATCCGTCCCACTTTATTCATTTATTCGATGTGAAGAAATTTCTGTGAGAGCTTGGGATTCCACTCATAATACACAACCTCGATCTCCAACATGGAATATTATGGGAATGATGAATAATTGTCATTTCCGTGTAAAAGTCAACACAGCTAATCAAGGAAAAGAATTTTTCTTAGAATTCACACATCCAACTCAACCCGGTAATAATCCTGGCGGTTGGATGGTTAAATCCGAACCACCAAAGGCAGTAAAGGCACCCGAACCATCAATATCAGCTCGTACTTTTACCCTCAAACAAGTGGAAAAACATAATACTGAAAAAGATTGTTGGATTATAATAGAAAAAAAAGTCTATGATTGCACCAAATTCCTAAAAGTACATCCTGGTGGTATATATTGGTTTCATTTCTTTATACTTTAGAGAACCCTCTCTAAATACACCTTGGTATTTTGATATAGATATGTGTTTATATAATTAGATATTGAGGCATAGGGTAATTTAGGAAGGGTTCTTGGTATTTTAGGATGGGTTTTCGGTATTTTTAGGAAGGGTTCTCGGTATTATTATGCATAATCTGATTTCTAATTTCTATATTTATTTTTATTTTTCTTTATATAGGTCTTGAAGCTATTCTTATCAATGCCGGAAAAGATGTTACAGAAGAGTTCAATGCTATCCATTCTAGCAAAGCAAGATCCAGGTTGAGCAATTTCTATATCGGTGATCTATCAGACAAATCTCAACCAAAATTATAAGGCTTCATTTTTCAATTAAAAATTTCCTTTTTTTATTTTCTTTTCATTATCGTTATCGTTATCATTATCAAAACATCAATGTTTTTTTTACGTATGCAATTAGACAATATCAATTTTGTACGTAAATATGTAAAAAAAAAAAAAAAATTTTTTCTTTGCATTGCACACGCATAATTTGTGTGCTTTTAATGCCTAGAATATGTATGAAAGAAAAAAAAAAGACATTTCACAGCATTTATGCTACGTACAATGAATGTATTAAAATTCTCCTGAAAATGTATATGCTTATTGAGAAAAAAAATAAGAACCAGAAAAATTTTTCGTCGTTTTTCATTTAATAATAATTAAATAGCACAAAATTTCGAATAAAATTTATGGAGCTCCTTTTCTTATGTACGCCATTATAGTATCGACAAATTGTTTATTTCTCCTGAAACATCTGTCTACTTTTTAATATATCGTCTGATTGGTTCCGTTTATCTGGAACGTTTTATGTTGGCTGAAAACCTGTAACCAATAATGGTAAATCATTAAATCTATTTCCAGGTTTTCACTCTCACGCACTCAATTTAATTTTGACAGAAAAAACGACAATCTAAAAAAGATATCTAAACTATCTTGGGGACCATCTCGGAGCACATGGTTTTAAACGTTTTCTCTTATCAGGAAATTTATACGAAGGCATAATAGCTATTCTAATTTTTTTATTGTGCTTTTCCAATCTATTGTGATCACGTATCAGGTATCACACCGGGAATCCGAAATGATTGGCTAAAAATTATTTCCAACCAATCACAAATTTGCATTTATCTGATTCCCAGTGTGATACGTGAAATTTGCTGATCACAGTAATTTGAAAAGCGCAATAATGTGACACGTATACAACATATCACCGCATCAAGAGAGTTCAACACGTGGCACATATAAAATACTTACAGTTACCGTTACAAAAGATCCGTAATCTGCGATCTTGCTACATAAATGGTTTATCTGTGATATCTTCATGTAAGCCATCGCAAGTTACTAATTAATTTTAAATGTTTGAAAGGTTCGGGTATTGTCGGAAAATCTCATTATTATAGTTAGTGTCGCCCATTAATAATTATCGCATCCACTTATTATATTATTTATTGCATTATGCAATTAATAAAGTGAATGCGACAATTACCAATGAAAAGATGTTTAATAACATTGGGTGCGAACGAATTGAGATAATTACTTATGACACGTTGTAGCAACTCGTAACTAGGGCTTCGTATTCGTATTCGTTATTCGAATAATATCATATTTTTACCGGTTTAATAATTCGAGTTTATACGTATTAATTTATCCAATAAAATTTTGACAAGTCCAAAATTGATCAATTTATCCAATTAATTTTTGATAAATTGTGATAACCCGCATTATTAAAACTTCCGACCTCTATTCATATTTCGGAGAATATTCGAATAAGTTATCTAATGAATAATTCAAATAGGCAATTTTTATTTGATTATCATATATTATTACGTACGTACGTACGTACATATTTAAGTTTTTTTTTATTATTAAAATTTATATACAAAATAATTCTAATTACTAAATTTAAAAAAAAATTTAATAATTATTATTGTAGATTAAAATAAAATCTAATCAAAATAAAATAAAAATTCTTTTTTTGTTTTAATTTAAAGCTTATAAAACCTATATATACTTGTTTATTAATAATTCTAGCCCTAAACCCTAATCCTAATGCTAAAAAAACCTCAAAAAAATGTTTAAAAATTTTGTTAACTGTAATTAGTAGTGATTTTATTAGTGTATAATTAGCTAATAAATTTGCAAAATTAGGTATAATATACAAATTAATTTGTATAATAAAAATTAATATCTCAAGAATTCATTTATGAAAGTATCTTCAATATTTTAACAAAAAAAATTTCTTGTTAAATTTTGTATATATCTAATATTTTGCTAAAATTTTAGACTTTACTCTAATACTAAAGTAAATAAAATAAAATCTTTTTTTAGTTTATTATTATCTGGCTAATTATATATCAGTGATAATTACTACTAGTTATTATAACTAAACCTTTTTTTTTTAAAATATAAAAAAATTCATTTTAATCAAATTTATTTTTAATCTGTTATAATTATCTTTATATAATATTATATATAGTTTTAATTTATATAATTAATTACATACACATTGCACTTCCTGGCAACTCTACTAACAATCCAATACACATACTTAACAACTTTTTAGAAGACATCAAATGTACTAAAAAACAGATATAGATCTTATCACAGGATATAAGTAAAGCCTATGACTCAGTTAATATAAACCTCCTTAACAAAGCTCTGTAATGCCTAAACATGCCTATACAACTTATACAAATTATTATCAACTTGTTGCAAAATCGTATAAACCAGATTATTACCAACTATAAATTAACACCTCTCTACAATATACAAGACAGAATCGATCAAGAAGAAATAATAATTTATCTTCTTTGGCATATATACATGACCCCTTAATTACTCATATCAATAAATTATATACTGGATACTCATTTACAGTTGAGTGGATTATACAACTCAACCCTACAAAGTACAAGAAAATATCAACATCTACCTCTGTACTTGTATATATAGATGATACACTTTGGCTTGCCAAATCACTTGAACAATTACAAAAAATTATACAAGTAGCATCCTTATTCTACACAATAGCACATATCAAAGTTAATCCACAAAAATCAATATTAATATCAAATACTCACCAAACCCCAAACATTAACTTTATGAACTATTTTATCCAAATACAACCTTAGCATATTCTATTTAAATTCCTAGGATATTGATTTACAGCTACACTTAAATACGCTACACAAATCAAACTTATTCAACAAGAAATATTTGGTTTTAATAATATACTCAAGACAAAAAATATAACTAACAAACAAGCTGCATATATTATTAATAATATTATAATTCTTACTTTAGAATATCAAATATATAATATTGTACTCCCTCGAACTACATGTAACTCCATTCTCTCACAATACCTCATCATTGCTAAACACAAAGCCAAACTATCCACAACTACTCCTAACAGCACTCTACTTAACCACAACATCTATGACATTAAAAATATATAGGATATCCAATTACAACACCATACTACAAATCTTCTACTCTGTTTAAATAATCAAGGCCTTATAGGTTTGAGTACTCATATTCAGCTACAATAATTACAAAACAATCTTTGGTCTATAACCAACATCCTTCAACACTCCTGTCTACTAATAGATGGTCCTAATAAAAATACAACTACCTTTAAAATTATACAGCTATTCAACTTACTTCAATTATCTATCAATATACACTCTGATTACCTCCAACTATATGAGTGCTAGCAAGGGAAAACCTCGAACTAGTAATTATTCTAAATAGCAAATTACTATTCAGAATAGTTGCTGGTTCGAGGTTTTACCTTGCCAGCACTCATATACACTTCAGTACCCATATACACCTATTGAAAAATTTCTTAATTCACACAATCTATACCTACAATTCAAAAAACAACTATATACAAAAAATATTATTTACTTAGAACAACTAACTTCATTTGACAACTCCACTCTATTAGACTGAATATATATTTCACCATAAATACAACAAATCCTAAAAAGACGCAAACTCCTTTGGTTTACAGTTCTTAAAAACAAAATAACTAATAATCAAGTAACTAGACAAATCAATTCTGATCTAAATCTATCTACAGTTAACTTAATATTATTTAATATTGAACATTACAAAGCCAAATCTAAACCTTGGCTAATTATATATAAGGACAATAGTATTATCATAGGGAAAGCCAGAAAATATTACTCAAACAGTGATAAAATATCTATTATATACTGGAATATTATATTTAATGATTCATATATTAATCTATACCCACATCAACTTATCAAACTCAACTATACACAGGATGTACATTGAATTCAAATCGGATTCAAAACAAATATACATTTAATATTCCTGCTAACTCATCAACTAAGTTCTTAGGAAGACCAAAATATATAAAAAATGGAACTACACTAAACCTTCATGCCAATTTGCTAGACCTAATCTACTCTCTCACATTACGTAATCCAATCACTATACCAACACAACCTACTATCAAATTTTAAGACAATGCAATTTTTGAAATCTTCAATGACAATTAATCTTCACAATCACTATCACAAATTGCAAAAACAACTTAATCTACTCACAACTTACATTTTATACAGATGGCTTAGTTAAAGATATTACCACAGAACATTATACTATGGGAATCGGCTAAGTCTAAACTTAAAATAACACAATTATTCACACATACTCAGCAGAAATCTAACTTTAGGCATTATCATACAAAGCTAAACTTATCGCAATACTTTCTGCTGTCAGTACATGCCTTAGAAACAGTTCTATTACAATATATACAGACTCACAATCAATTATATCTAAATATAAAAAGCTTAAACAATCACTACTATCACCTAACAAATAATATTCATATAATTACTGGCCTATATGATATACTTTGCTCAATATTATTAAAGCTTACAAACTAGATATTCAATTAGAGAAGAATACAGTACACAGTAACAACATCTTTAACAATCTAGCAGACAGACTAGCAAAAAATGCTAACTATCTAGCTACACTACAATTTATAGATAATAATAAATACAACTTATCATATCTAATTTAATATTAACAATTCACATTTCAATAACCAACCCGTAGATCAATTAAAAATATATATAATGCTCACATTATAGCTATGTGGTCATCTCAACATTATATGAACAACATAACACCTCTATCATCACAAATTAACTAGAACACAACCTGGCTTTATCTAAACAACAACTACAAAAGATCAACTACTTATACTAACTTTAAACTATACTAACAAAATCATTTAAAATCAAGCTTATGCTAGATATACTTCCTACTTTAATATA